CGCTGCATTCCACACCAACGGGGACGAGCTGGTGTGCGTCGCCTTGGGGGGACGCCCTAACCCTCGTTTGCATGGGTGCGCAGCTGTGTAGAATTGCAGCCCTGAAAAAGGCTGGCAGGGGTCGCGACGAGCACGCTTCTACAATGACCCCCAACCTATATGTTAAGATTTATCAATAATTTAAAAGGCAGTAAAGTCTCGCATAATTTCTTGTCGAGTACAGAACTAAATTCTGCTCTAATGTTACTCATTAAGTTTGAACAAGAATTGCACTTCAATTTTTATGCGGTTCTTTACAAAGTTTGCATCCGTTTCTAGACAACCTGGGTATTCTGCGTGTAGGCGGCAGGTTATACCACGCAAATATTCCGTACACTCAAAAACATCAGATGATTTTGCCTAAACAATCGTATGTCACTGAATGTATTGTTAGGTCTGAACACGAGCGTCTCCTGCATGGAGGACCTAGGCTTTTATTGTCCAATTTAAATCAGAAATACTGGATCACTAATGGTTTATTGTATGTAAAGAAAATAACAAATAAATGCGTAAAATGTTTCAGACAAAAGGCCACCGCTTCCAAACAGCTGATGGGCTCCTTGCCAGCTGGGAGGGTGACTGCGTTAAGCCGTCCCTTTGAGAAAGTTGGAGTAGATTTTGCTGGACTTGTAAATGTAAAACTTTCGCGCGTGAAACGATCCATTGTAGGTAAAGGATACATTTTCGTATTTGTATGTTTTGCCACTAAGGCAATACATCTAGAGCTAGCCTCAGATCTCACATCCGATACCTATCTTGCGTGCCTACGTAGACTTATATCGCGAAGAGGCCTGCCAAAAGAGATCTACTCTGACAATGTCAGCACCTTCAAGGGGGCAAGGAATCAGTTGGTGGAACTGTATAAGTTGGTTTCCTCTAGAGACCACCAAAGTAAAGTCTTTCAATTTACAGCTCAGAAAGGAATTGACTTTCACTTCATTCCGAGTTATTCCCCTACCTTTGGTGGCCTCTGGGAGGCGGCAGTTAAAAGTACTAAGTACCATTTACGAAGAGTAGTGCAGGGTCACTTGCTAACCTATGAACAGTTAAATACGGTGTTGGTGGAAATAGAAGGCGTACTTAATTCTAGACCTTTGCTACCGATATCTTCAAGTGACGTAAATGACTATACTTACCTGACTCCAGGTCACTTTTTGACAGGAAACGCTTTAACAATGTATCCAGAAAATGACGTCTCAAATGTTCCACAAAATAGGTTGAAGCTATGGCGGGTATGCACGCAAATAAAACAATCATTTTGGAAGATGTGGCACAAACTATATCTCAATGTACTGCAAAACAGACCTAAGTGGTTAAATATTTCACCCAACATCAAGATAGGTTCTTTAGTGATACTAAGAGAAGACAATGTTCCTGCAATGTTCTGGCCAATGCCTAGATTGGTGAATACATTCCCTGGTCATGATGGCCACGTTAGGGCCGTCGAGGTAAAAACTTCAAATGGCAAAACCCTTACTCGTTCAATTCTAAAAATATGTGTTCTGCCGTTCTATACTATTCTATTACGTAGCTTACGCAATATTTTTTATTCACGGCTGTCATTATGTGAGCATGTCGCCGCTGATCGGTATTATATGTACCGATCTGTTAATTTCTTTTATTGCAGGACATGGCAATATCCTAATGGCATACCATAACGTCACGAATAATTTATTACATAGTTATATGTATCATTTCAAGTCGTAGCTCGTTAGAGGGTTTACGCTCTAAGTTATAGATATATGTGTTTTTATTATGAGAATATAAGATTCTTAAGGTTTAGTATTTAATGTTAGTTTCTGGTAAATGTTTGGTAAAAAATTCCTCGTGTTGTACTATAAATTTAAAGACAGATTTTGTTTTTAACATGTTTTATTAATTGTAAAGCTTGTATCTTGTGTGGCCGCAGCATGTTGCGTTTATGTAGCAACATTAAGATATAATTATGCCGTATGGCAACATTTGTTGTATGTAGCAACACTAAGATTTCATGTAAAATATATTAGCCGTGTGGCAACACTGGGTTCCAAAAGATTCTCACGATTACATCGCTCTCAAGATTTTTCGTCTTTTTTATTTCATATAACCAAATATCGTTTAATATGCAATAACCAGCGCAACACTATGTAGTTGCTTTTTCGTGGTTTTAAATAGTATTAGACCTATTAAATATCTACAGGTGTATATACGGGGCAAGCAGTTGTGTCTGTCACTCTTGCCATGGCAGTTGTTCTGCTTATTCGCGTTAAAGATGTTGTCCATTCCGCTCGCGCTACCCTGTTGTGCTCGACAACGCCATTATGCTTGCTTTGCTGCGGTGACTAGTTGTAATTTCGAACGGGAAAGCTGTGTCGCTTACGACGTAAAATTGAAAAGGGAAATAATCGTCATAAAAATAAGAAGCGACTTGGTTGGCGTAAAGAAACAGACAGACAGAAACTAATGAAATACATATCTAACGACCAATCTACTTACAGTATTAGTGATTACAAATATGTTGGTAGCGGTAGAATTTGAGCTGAGGTAGAATAGGCCCTTAAAACGACCCTGTTGTCAAATCCCAAGGCGTTTAGACGGTTCACGCAGTCTTCACCTAGCTTCAAGTTCGCTAAATTTGATCTCAGCGCTAGCAGTGCCGCTTGAATATCAGAGTTTATATAGATTATATGATTGACGTAGAGTTTTTGTAGATTGATTTCCGCACACTGAAGCATGACGAAAATTTCTGCCAAGAAGATAGAAGTGAATCTACCCTAATTCATACTCAGTTAGAATTTGGGGCATTGTCCATAAAATCCAAAGCCTACGTCGCGGTCCATTTTTGACCCATCGGTGTACCATATAAGGCTACCGACCTCACAGATAACCTGTCCATTCAGCCAGTCTTCTCTGAAGGGTACTTCCACTATATACTGTAATAGATATCTGAGATCATGCATAAGACCCGTGTTTCCTTAATTGAGTTAAGCATGGATCTCAATTTTGAGTAAAGCATGCGCAAACAGCCCTATTAATCCTACCACCTATTATCCATCTATTAATCCTATACAAACTAGCCCTCGACTCCCGGTTTAAATAAAGATCAAGGGGCGTTAGGCACAGAAGTGCATTAAGAGCTGTTCCAGGCAATGAACGCATCGCTCCAGTAGCCATTAAGCAAGCAGTCCTTTGTAGACTATTTAGTCTGTCCGCAGTCATCTTTTGGTTAGCCTGATTAGACCAGACAATGGAGGCGTGGGTGATAATCGGCCTCACTATGCTGCTGTACAGCCATAGAATCATACTGGGACGTAAGCCCCAGTTGTTCCCAACCACACGATTGTACTTAGCCGTATGACATACGTGGCTAAGGCGAGAGTTCCACGTCAGTTTTTTGTCGATTGTTTCGCCCAAATACTTAACTTTTCGATAATCAAAAGAATCAAGCGTTACTTTGCGGAATTCCATTATATTGAAGTTGTTAGAACTTAATTTGCTTATTTCCGCGTAATAAAATACAATGATGAGTCCTGCCCAGTATGAAGAGCACCCACCCCCCACCCTCCCTCATTTGCGTGCATTATCTCCTTCACTACCACTTCCAGCACCACCACTCTCAGCACTACCACTATCAGCGCCACCACTCTCAGCACCACCACTCCCAGCGCCACCCCTCCCAGCACCAGCACACTAGGAACGACACACCACCCTAGCTATAGATCTACACGAGCCATTCTCAGATGAAATAGACTCTGCGAAGGCTGACACTATCTACGTCACCATTAATCCCATAATCACCACTCCTAGCACTCTCTCCACTCTCCACACGCTGCTATTTATACAACTCGTTGATCAGTGACTTGCGTAAATAGCTACTGTTTCAGCTCGCCGGTCACTTAGCCTTCAGCCACCGCAGAGACTACTTCACCTGTCGATGCCTCGTGTAGAGGCAAAACACGTATCGTTTTATCGATAATGGTGTGTCGTTCCTGTGGTGGTACTGACGGATAGTGCATGCAATTGAGGGGTTTGGGAGGTGCTCATCATTTTATTTTATTACGCGAATATGAGCAAAATAAGTTCTAATAGCTTCAACCACATGGATTGAACTTTAATTTTCCTGCTATTTTCGCACCATTATTGTACCCTTGATCTCGACAATCATTAATGTCTAAGTCAAACACTTGTACAATTGCATCAAGAAAGGCCAGTAAGTCCTTTTTCCGAAGAGTCACTTACTGGCTTGTAAGCAACAAAATACTCGTGCTTTGATATCCTTATTAGCGTCAACAAAACGGAATGCTAGTGATAAGAGTGAGTGAATTGGTGACCGGTGGTAGCGTTTAGGTTGATTTCGGCGACCCTGATGATGGCGTCCGGTGTGGTCGCATCGCTCGCACCGCCCTATAGCCGCCACTGAGTGAGTACAACCGTATGAGTCCAAAGGAGAAAATACTACTATATAGCTCCCCTATTTAATACGAAACAAGAGGGAAACCGATCATACTTTTACTTCACTGCAAAGGTGACGCTGAGTTTGATTTTTCATAACACGTAAAACTTCCTAAACACGTAAACATTCAACCGTTGGAAATGGACCTCCTATATAAAAGAGAGGTTCACAGAAATCGTCAAACTTGAGGAGTGAGCCAGACGCTTCTTTCTGTATCCGACCTAGTTATTATTTACCTATTTATGTACGAGTTGATTATTCCGCCATTTTCTAAAACATAATAATTTGTAAAACTTTCTTAGTCCTTTAGGTGGTTGATAGATTCTTTAATACTCAGTAAGCAAATTAAAATATATAGTTCAATATTTTAATTATTTATATAAATTAGTTTATGAAACTTACATTGAGAATAGTCCTTACTTATTATACTCGTATTTTAAAATAAATAAATACAAATAAAACTATGTTAATGATATTTATATCTAGCTCTTTTAACGTTCAAGTTTTAAAATACAATTCATTAAAAAATTTAAAAGTCACTTTCCCGTGGTTCATCGTCATCTATTGAATACCTTCTATTTCTGGATCGAAGAGGACGTTCTAACTCCGCCTCAACTTCAATAGTCACACTATCATTACCATTTGCATCATACTCAGACATTCGTCTACGTCTCACGCCTGGAGACTGATCCAACTCTGCTATTTCATGGCTTCCAAATTTTCGTGGATGTCGGCGACGTCTTCGGCGGCTAGTGTCAGATGTTTCGGTTAATTCGAAGTCATCTACAGTAGGTAAATCACCATTTCTTTCAGTTTCTTCAATCAAATCTCCACTTGATTTTGTTTTACGTCTTCCTTTTCTTCTTCTCTTTTTACCTGTACCTTCTTCGCATAATGACTGACATGATATATTAAGTTTAGGCATAGAAAGAGCTTCATCATAAGACGGTGGAGCCACTAGGTCTCGTGGATCAGGAGTGTTGCACAAAGCTTCTTGTTCTGCACGCATTCTCAATTGTCTCAATCTCTCTCTAGCTTCTTCAACTTGTCTTTCTCTCTCTGCTTGCATAGATGCTAATCGGCGATTCATGGATCTCCTTATTCCATTCACTAACAATAAACATAATGCTAAGCCTACAATCATTATTACTAAAAACCAAACTAAACTATCTGCATTTGCTACCTTTTCATTCGGATTCCATATTAAATAACATGCTTCTAACCACGTTTGTCCAACCAAATTTACAGGACTATTGCAAATAAGATTATATGATTCTTCTTTTTTATTAGGTTCCAATGTAACAAATTCATAAAAGTCAAACATGTTGCCATCAGCACAATCACATCGCCACATATTATCACCTAGATCCAGTCTCTCTAAATAAGGATTGAAATCAAAGTATGATCTACTCCATATTGCCGTAAATCGGTTTCCTATAACACCCAATCCTGTTAGTCTTGGTAACATGAAGAATGTGTAGTTACTTACAGCATTTATTCTATTGTAGTTTAGATTTAAATATTTTAACGTATTAGACGAAATACTGTCTGGAATGTTAGACAGTAAATTATGTGATAAGTCTAGATCAACAAGTGACTGCCAGCCTTCCAAAGAATCCTTACCAATAGTATTAATTTCACAGTAACTCATATCTAGAATAGCAACAGATGTAGATTTTAGATGTCCAACCCTCGTTAGATAGTTTCTGCGTAGTTTTAAATGTGATAATGAAGGCATCTCCAGTAAACTGTTTTCCGGTAAGTTTGCAATTTCATTCCATGACAAGTCTAAATATTTTAGTATACCGAGTCCTCGAAACGTATCGCTTTTAAGAGAGCCGATATTATTATACGATAAATCCAAATACTCTAATTTAGAGTTGTTAATAAAATTGTTGCTCTCTAAGTACCTTATCACATTATGACTTAAAAGACCTTTTCTTAGATTAGGAAATCCCGCAAGATTTATTTGCATGATGTTACAAAATGAAATATCTAAATATCTCAGTGAACTTGACACTGGGCTGTCTGAAGAAATAGGTAAAATTAAGTCATAATTATAGGAAAGTTGTAAGTATACTAGCGAAGGTAAATATGATAGTTCATTGTGGTTTATAGAACTCAGTTGACAGTTACTAACATAAAAACTTTTTAATGTTGGCGAAACAAGACCTTGAATCCTTGACAATGGATTGAAGTTAATTTTGAACACCCGTATATTTATCAAACCACTTAGTGGTGATCGACCATGTATTGAAGTTATTTTACAATTATCTAAAATCAATGTCTCTAAAGATGAACTTATTAAAAGCTCCTGATTTGCTAAATTTGCCAAAGTCTGAAATTTATTATAAGACAGGTCAAGAATCTTCAAGTTTGTTACTGGTTGAAGTACATCATTAGGGTTTAAGTTCAGCCACGTATCAAAGTTGTTTCGCGATAAGTTCAGTAGTTCAAGTGATGTCAGATTTTCAAGAGCATTCTCCGGCATAAAGCTTAGTTGATTACCACTAAGATCGAGTGATATAAGATTGACGAGCTTATTTAAATTTTGTGGAAAAAGTGAAATCTCGTTGTCTGACACGTTGAGTTTCGTCACCTGAAAATAAGAGATCATTGATTAGTATAAAGTATTAGAGATATTCGACGTCAGTTAGCAATGAAATTGTTACTTGCAACTTTAACTGCTGCTTTACCAGAAAACGTACATGTCTGAATAAGAAAGTATTTCAAGTAGGTATATGGAGAATCTTCCGAACCCGAAACATTTTTTTTTGATAAGCCACACAAATACTTTTTCCTTGCGGAATACGAATCCGCGACATTGCAGCGCCGCAACTAAACGTTTAGCTATTACTACCGCGTGATAATAGAATGTGGAACATGACCCTTAGATATGATCGTCGCCATGGTAATTATTCTTTAAACAGAACTGTTAGGAGTAGTAAGTGATGTGTATGTTACGGCTTAAAACCGAAGTACTAATACACCCAAGTTTCGCCGGCTACAACTACGTGAAGTTGATTGGGTTTGGTTAAACTTAGATGTATACGATTTATTCCTGGTACTGGTAATGCCAGAAGAAACAACAAACCTTTTTTACCTAGGTTTACTGTTTTGGTTAAGGTCCGAATATTTATTTTATTATATAAATATCCTTGAGGGAGGTCTATATTCAGCATTGGACTAGTGATGGGCAGTAATGATGATGATTATATAAATGTCGGTGATTTATTCCAGCACTTTAAGTTACCGTCCCTGATATTACTTAAAAGGTTCTTTCAGATTTTGACTAAGTTAACAGTGGTTTTTATTATTATAATTGTTATTGGTACTTTACCAGACTTAGTTTTAGTAGGGAGCAACTGGCAACACCTATAGGTTTAGTCATAAACGAACGATGATTTGAGAGGTAAAAAAACTTTCTTAATGTTATTTGGGTAGAGGGAATAAAAAGAATACTAATGGCGAATAGGCAACCACTTGAGCCTGAAAGAAATATTCGGAAACGTGATCACATTTGTGTAGATCAATATGAAACAGATAGAGAAATTATGTAGCCGTCGAAATAACTGGTGTTGGCATAGTCTAGATTGGAGATTAACAGTGAATGTGCGAGCGCAAATAATGTGGAATGTGGAAGGAAGTTCCGCAGCCGTTTCAGAGAAGCTGCCGCATAGTTCTTTTCGTTTATCGATCCAAACAATGATCTATGAAAATTCTCGAGTTTTGATCACTCCTGAGCTGTATACAACTACGATTTACGTTTTTTGGAATTCACTTGCAGGTCACGGGCTTACTCTACTCCAGGATGTGTTCTAAATCTTTATTTATACAAGTAATGATATCACCTACATACTCATGGGGAACCAAATGTGAGAATAGTTTTGTTTGTAATTAGTAGTAAACAAAGTGTCCGAGCGCTGCCAACTGTTTCGTCAACGCCTCCGCAATGACCAATTTCAATAATTTAGCGGATGACACTTACTCTGTCCCTGGAGACTTGATATGGTAATTGGGGCATCTATTTTCCCTAACCTTTTGTAAATCATCTGCATAGAGTTCATAAATATCGCAATGAGTAGGGGAGCCATGAAACCAGGTAATTTCTAGTGGAGATATGTTAATAGTATGTCATAGGATAGCTACATTAAAGTCAACATTGCCAAATGCATTATTTAAAGCTGTCAGAGCCAGAACAGTGACTTGCCCTTTCTCTATGCCATGCTTTACGTCATCAGTAATTGTGATGAGAACTGTGGATGTGCCATGACCCGGGTAAAAACTGCACTGGTAAGGATCAGAGGGTTGTTTTGCTGTTATTTAAATCTCTCTAAAACTTTGGATAGGAACAGGAGAATCGAGATAAGACAGTAATCAGAAAACGTGGAGTGATTTGGCGTTTTGCGTAAACATGTTACTTGAACTTCCTTTTACACACTTTAATTAGTCCCATAGACTATGCAATGGTTCAACAAGTGGGTCGAGAATGTCATCGGGATTGGTGCTTTTTTTTCTAATATTGTCGCTACCAACCATTTTCAAGATGGATAATAATATGACGTGAAGAATGAGGAATTAGTAAAGAACAATGATAATCTAAAGTTTGAGCTATAGCATATTCATCATGTGTGATAAATTGGCGCGAGTACAAACGATATTGCCGTGCCTTCTCTATTCTGCTTTTTATAGGATTAACACGACATACTAAAGCACTATCTTGAGATGAATTAGAACTTGCAATCCACCTGATGGTAAGTGGCTACTGCAGCGCGTGAAAACCTGGAGACAACATCAATCATAACGTTATGGATGCGTTATCACCTCTGAGCACATAAAGAAGGGAAGAAAGAAGATGAATGCCTCAAACTCTGTTATAACAATTGCTCCCTATACCATATAGGTCGGAACGCAGCAGCGCACGCATGGGTATTTGTTGGCAGAAATCTACTTGTTTTTGTTTATTCTCGTTAGACGGTGTATATTCGTTTCAAGCTTTTGCGTATTTTGTGCATTGCAGTTCGTATTTGATCTGAGGTGCAGGAACTGTACCTTTAAAATCTAAAACCAGACTTTTGTTGCAAGGTGCCTTTGGTAATGGAAAGCCCTGTATTACAAATTATAAAAAATACGCTCCGATCTTGTCTTCGAGTGCACGCTGTTGGCTTGTGCCTGATTCTCTTGTGATTCCTTTTATGCCTCCTCTATAATCTACATTCCATCTTATTACATAGCTTACATAGAGCAAATAGTGATAACGGTAATATATATATCCTACGTAATTGAATGTTTTCCGACTGCATGAAGTCATTGACCGTGGTTAGAATCGCTCCCGAAGACATTACCAGGTAAGAAATAGTATTTGCTAATATTTAATAATAACAACTTTGCATAATATCATAGAATAAATAAAAATGTACCTTTTCACTGATGCCGTCGGGAAAATTTGTTAAACCCCTTTTAGAACAGTCAACACTGCTCCTGTCGGCGCTGCACGCACATACATAGCACACGTAGTTTCCATCACTGTTATCGATGTCCGATATTTCTGCATTTGCTACTATCACGAGAAACAGAAAATTTCGTAGTATAAGCATCCCGCCAATTTGTCATAACTACCTGGAAAAATTATTATTTCAAAACATTATAACCAATGCCAAATTAACTTTGTATTACTGGCACACCTGCGTTAAATTATGTTTCTCGATTTCCTGTCACGTTTGGTTTACCAAAACGTTTAGTTCGACCTTAATTTCTGGGTACAGGTCCACATAACATTGTTAAAAGAACAAAATAAATATCAACACAACAATTTTATCTTTGTTATCTACATTTGATAAGGGAGCCGGTTGTAGGCTACCTAATTTAGGTCGATTTCGTGTAAAATTACCTCCTACTAGAACTGCAAAAAGATGAATTTCAGAAAATTCTACAAATCAAGGATTATTATAGTAGGTACGACATTTTGTGTAGGTACTATTTGTATCTACAAATAACGTGCGTTATATAATTAAGGTTGTTTTTATTTAAATATTAAACATGAATATTACCTAATAACAGTAATATTATATATTATATATTTATTTACTGTATAATTACGTAGGTACCTACAATTTGTATCTGCAAACAACATTAATTATTGTTACATTAAAATTAACTACTTATAACATTATAATTTATTAATTTCCAGTTTAATGTATTAATAATAATTAAGGATGTTCTTTTAATGGGAGTACCTAATGATTCATGAATTTAAGGATATAACTTTTATTTGAGGACTAAAGCTGAGGTACCTACTCTTTTGTTTAATTCTTTAAGGTAATTAGTAAGTATATAAATTATTATAGATCTTTACTTACCGGTATATGTTGGATATATATAATATATTGCGATGATAAACCATTTGATGTTATATAAAAGGTGACACACCTTATCATGAAGAAATATACTTAGTCCAATTTATCACAAACACATCACATTTTAATAACTAAATTTTGTGCTTAAAAGTATCACGCAATCCACAAGATATTTTAATGGCTGTTAAACTGTCAGTCAATAAAAGTTTGGGAACTATGGAAGGTATAAATTTTGTCTATATTTTTCACGTGTGCCTTCGAGTAGAAGATAACATTGTGTGAACCAAATTAAACGATACACATGTTATCATGATAAGGAAGTTTGCGAAACTGTAGGCTATGCTATGAGTCACCTATTATTAAATATCAATTCTCATAAAATTTTTCTCTTACGTTAAGATTTAGGAGTACTTAATTTTGTTTGGTACGAGTACCAATGGGGGCCTTTAGCTAACTACCGTAACCGTTACTGCCCATTAAATTCCACTGCTGAACATAGGCCTCCCCCATATATTACCTTATAGGAGGGATATTTGCCGTAGTCGCTATGCTTGGCAATCAGGTTGGCAACCGCAGTTTTTTATTTTTAGTCGTTATTAAGAAGATGCTGCTGCCCATCTCCTGATTTGTTTTCCTCTGCCGCCTATTATGACACCCACGGGAAGATATTTAGCTTTTTCATAAGATTATAAAATTCTTAAAAAATAACAATGTTAAAATTAGATAATAATATTTTTAAGCTGAGATGAGTAATTTAGTAAATTATAATATATGTATATTTTCCAAAAACGATCTAATACGTACCTTCGGTTTTAACAATATTTAATATTTAGGTATATAATATTATAGTTTATAATATTATTCTTGTCTGTGACTATCGACACTAAATATTATTTGAAATAAATAAATACCTTATTTATGCTTATAGCACAATTTGTATGGATGTTTTATATTTGAGTAACAATTTATAATCCCAACCACATGAAAACAGTGTAGGTAAATAAAGAAATATTATTATTTATATTACGACACATTTTATGTTTCAGATACATCTAGCGACATTTTGCAGAAATTTTGCAACGGTTCTGTCACCTTTATATGTTCAAAACGTTAACTGCAGTAGTTCGTTAAAATGCCAATAGATGTCGCAATTATGAAAAATCTTTAACAGTAAATATTTTAGTCACCCTACCTAAAAGTAACGTCCCTTCTCAATATAAAATAATGCTAAAGGCCTATGTTAAAAAACATTGCAGTCGCACAGCAGCTTTTTAGTTAGGTATTAGAAAGACGCTGATGCCAATCTGATTTGTTTCCCTCCCGCCACATACGAAAAAGAATTAAAAAGAGAAAGAGAGCACTACAACCCAAAAAAAAAAAAAAAAAGTAACAGTTTAAAGTAACTAAATATAAAAATGGATTGAACTTTCAATGGATGAAGATTGGGATTAGAAATAACGTCAACCATCTGTTAGTTCTCTTTATATATTGTGTCTTTAATTTTTTCGTATTTGATTTTTTTTTCATATCTGTTCTAATCTATTTAAAACAATTTTAATGCTAACTTAACCCTAAGGGTATAAAATTACTTTTAAATTCATTATGTTACTATGCATGTTCTAGTTTATCACTCATAAAATGATATTTAGAGGAATATTATAAAAAGAAAAGAATAGGCAGTTAAAAAGAAACAGAAATAAAAATGATTTACAAACATGTGCCGGGTTTTCTAATTTATTTTTTCTAGGACTGAATTTTCAATCATCGGATAAAAGTTACCCATCGAATAACAAAAGCTCGACGTGAAACAATTGAATCATTTTATTCATACAAACCGTGACTATTAATTTGTTTATGTTGTATTTTATTTTATGAATAATTTTTATTAATGTTTATTAAATCAGTCCTCAGTTTTTTAATAGTTGAAATATATGCATTTTTAAATATGTACAATAATAACTTAATTAAAAAATATGTTGGCGCTTTTGAAGAAAGAAACGTCTTTTTAAATAACTTAGCAAATTGAAGCCACATACAACACAACTTCAGTTTATACGTATTTCGACTGTTCGTCTAATAGAGCGTCTCTCCCCAACTCTTGATCTGGGCTCGGTGAGATCGCCAATCGATCTAGACCTACGACATAGACGATCCAATGTCTCATCGTCTTCATCGTCTACGAAATCCGGTAAAGAGTGAAACGACGCATTGAGACGAGGCATTAATAGCGCTTCATCGTAACTTGGTGGTAGATCTTCTCTTAAAGGAATTCTCATGATAACGCTTTCGACTCTAGGTTGAGTAGTGGTGCCATTTATACCGCTAGTTTCTGTAGTAGCTCGCGGTATTTCTGGCTTGTTGATGGACATTAGTCCTCTACAGACACATGAAGTTATGACAATGCCTATTATAATGCCGACAAACACTGCCATCATTGTGTACGACTGCATGGACGATTCATTAGGATGCCACGTCAATATATAAGCTTGCTGCCAACTCATTTGTGTCACATTTGATGGTGAGTAGCAGATAAGGGAGGCTCTGTCCGCAATCTTCGGCGGTTCCTTTGTCAAATATTCATAAGTCAGTAAAAGGTTGACGTTGAATCCCTCGCAGCTCCATCGGTTTCCCTTCACGTGAACTTCCCTCAAAAACGGATTCGAGGCGAAGTGTGAGGTTGACCATACATCTTTGAATTCGTTTCCTCTCAAGTCTAACACTGCCAAATGTGGTAGTGCGGAGAAAGTGCGATCTGTCAGGACGCTGATTTCATTGTAACTTAAGTCTAATTCTTGTAAAGTGTCTGAAACAAAACCGTCCGGTAATTTATCGATTTGGTTCATGGATAAATCGATTGTCAATATAGAATTCATTCCCGTAAGAGATCCGACGTTTATTTTTGCGATTTGACAGTTACTCAAACTTAAACTCCTCAAAGATTGAGACTGGAAGTTAGGTACTTCTGAGAAGTAATTTCTGGACAAAATAAGTGTGTCTAAATTATTAGCGTCTGTAAATACTGTTGGTGGTAATTCATAAATTCTGTTTTCTGATAGATCTAGGGTGGATAAGTTCGGCATCCTAGCGAACGCTTTTATGTCGACACTGTTGATCTTGTTTTTCGATAGATCTAGTATTTTAATGTTGTATTCAATGTTGCTGCTTAGCCATGCATCGTATATGTTGTTTGATAAATTCAGAGTATGCAGATTTTGAAACTTTTGTAAAAAGATTGGGAGTGGACTCGTTAAACGGTTTCCAGACAAGTCCAGTATTTCTACTTGAGAGAAATTCGCAAGCTCCGCCGGAAAGGACCCGAAGTTGTTGTTCGACAAAACCAATACTTGCGCCTGAAATTAAATAATAAGAAAAATATTAATACTATATTTTTTGTGTATCCATTGGATTTTACTGCAAATTATAAACCAAATTGGGGTTTGGTAAGTATGTATGTGTTTCATAGAAATAACGAATAAAAATAAGCGTTATTTTTTACAGAATATTATACTAGATATTAATTAATATTATATTATTTAATGATAGATGATTCCATAAATGGTTCATTTTGCTAAATTTAGCTTTGAACACTGATGATGAAATAGGAACTACTTTAATTGTTTTATTGTCTATACCTGATATATTAATAATACCTATTTATTAATTTTCTTTTAGTAAATTATATTCTATTTTGCTGAAGAATAACAAAGGATATTTATTACATACATGTTAGATTTAGTTTAGAAAAATAAGGTTATTGGTAAAAACGTTTCGGTGACAAAATCACTACGTTAAAACGATGTAATATTTACAACAGAAGATGCAGAAACATTGCAAATAAAAATTTTGTTATATAAAATGAAAAACGACAATAATTGTATGAAAGAGCTTACGTCATAATTCAATTTGTCTGGAAGTTCTGTCAGTACACGATCTGAACAATCTGAGTAAACCAATTCATCTAAAGTATAGGTGCGGCAAATTGGTTCGTCCAGCCCATCGCCGACGTTTGGAAGAACCCTGGCAGCCACCATCGCTGGCAGCAGCCATATCCATAATGTTTGTATAGCAACACCTAAAATATTGCATTAAAATAATTGAACAGGTAACCAGAAAACGAGTTCTCTTATGTCTTACAAGTTGATTAGTAGATATTTTACGTGTTGCATTTTCTTTTAGTTTTAAACAAAATTTATATTAAAATGTTGTCCCTTAATATATTTTCCTATATTATGGTATTATTGAATAAAAGATCTCTTTAAAATTATTTAGTCTCAACAGTTTTTCAACACTTACCCATTAGAAATAATGTATCCTTTTCTGAGTGGTAGGCATGTTATTCACTTCGAAAATCCGATAAGTATTTGGCCGCTGTCACTTCATTGTGCTTAGTCACTTCTCACACATTTCAAATACATAATTATATTGGAAACAAACACCCATACAACATTCATTCAGTTGCTTTAGATCTCCATACAATTCAGTAATGAAGCGGATATCTACGTCACGGGCGACTCTAGGTGGGTTTCGACTTCGGTCGCGTGTGACGACTGTCCGTAAATAATTTATCGAATTTTGATAAAACTTTGATAATTTCGGACAGTTATTGATTTAATTTTAATAAAGTATATTCGTAAAGACACTATTATTTATTTTATTTCTAAATTTTGGTTAGTTAATATAAAATTCCGCTTTTATAAGTATTTTGTCGGAATTTAAGAGCCTGCTTATTGCATTACGTTGTAAAACATTTCTGACGTCCGAAACACTTTACGTTTACAAAATCACCTGCATATACGTTTCGATTATCTACACGTTCTTATCACTGATTAGACGTATCGACTTATCGTCCTACCCAAAGAAAAACTGTTATTGCTTGAGTTCACTAGATTACTCACGAAACTCGCCATTATAATGTTTTTGTGAATGTTTCGACGGCATTGTTATTTACATAATTCAATGCGGTAAATAATACAACCGTTAGAAAAAAAAACTACATCCGTAAAAATTACCGTGTAGTGGGGGTGTAAGAATATCCACTTCCCCATATAGTCCAGTAGGTGTCGTAATAGGCGAGAGGGGGAAACAAATCAGGATATGAGTAGCAGCGTCTTCCTAAAAACGATTAAAAATAAAAAGTGCGGTTGCCAACACGCTTGCCAAGTAATAAAATAATAAAATATTTATTTGCACGAAAATGGTACATTTTTAGGTCTTTTATCATAATGTGAACATGCATGATTTACTACGATTTACATTAGGCTGTATGCATATATATCGTCGACATGCAATTGAATAATTAAGATTAGAAAATTACAATTACATTTCATTTAAAATTAAATGAAACTATATAATGTCATTAAATTTAGAATGTAGAAAAGGACAAAAAATATGTACATGGTATAGGCATAGTCATGTCATAATGAATAATGTCAAACTAGTGTAATGTCAACTTTACAATTTCAATTTCAACAATTCGCTTGAGGTGACCGTTACGAAGAATTTGATAAATTCATTTATGTCGTAAAAACAGTTTTCAATCGAAATCCCGAAAATATTTCTTTTAAAAATGTTATTTATAATTTAATTAAATGTCAAGTTTTGAATATGCTTCGGAAGTAAATTAAGTACTCGAAATATAATAATAAACGAAGTCGAATAAGCGTGGCAACTATGGCAATTATACCCCCTATGAGGCAATTTATGGGTGAGGCTTATGTTCAGCAGTAAATAGGCTGTAACGATAACCTTAAGTAATACAAAAAGAAAGCGACTAAAATGGAAATAAAACCGGCCAAGAGCGCGTCGGGCCACGCTCAGTGTAGGGTTCCGTAGTTTGCCATCCGTCCGAATAAGTGTTCCCACTTATGAGTTTAAAGGTAGGTATCCATTATGTTCGCGCTCCAGCAGCGCTCCGCGCTCCTGCAACTGCTCCCGGTAGTGGGTACTGTTGTTTCCATCCAAGTTCAAAATGATTTTCCTAGAAAGTCCTTATAAAGTTCTACTTTTCAGATTTTTTTCATATTTTCTAAACTTATGGTTCAAAAGTTAGAGGGGGGGGGGGACACATTGTTTTTTACTTTTGGAGCGATTATTTCCGAAATTATTGACATCATCAAAAAATGATTTTAGTAAACCCCTATTCATTTTTAAATACCTTTCCAACAATATATCACACGTTAGGGTTTAAATTAAAAAAAATCACTTCCCACTTTACATATAGGGGGGCTACCCTAATAAAACATTTTTTTCCATTTTTTATTTTACCACTTTGTATACGCATATTGGTACCAAATTTCAGCTTTCTAGTGCTAACGGTCACAGAGATTAGCGAGGACGGACAGACGGACAGACAGACATGGCGAAACTATAAGGGTTCCTAGTTGACGACGGAACCCTAAAAAGGATGTCATCGTCATCAGTATATGAAGATTGCTCTGCTGGATATGTGTTTCTCCTACAGTAAACAGTCAATTTTATTCCCCTGACGCCGCTTCTAACTTTCGTGTAAATACTTATAACATAGTTACAGCCTATGTACGTCCCACTGCTGGGCACAAGCCTTCTCTCATCTCTAAGAGGGTTTAGGGCAATAAGGCCGCGCTGCCCTAATGCGTGCTGTGTAACTTTACATGTCATAGAAATATTTTTTTCTTATTTCTGCGTTACCACGGCTCTAATAATACAAAATGGTTTTTCAGTATCCATTCAGGAAGCTAAATGAACCTTGAATGAACCGATGTTTGGGACAATTGCTAAAGTTACCTCTTACGACACCTATAGGATGGTGTGGGGGGAAGCCTTATTTACTCGTATTTTCAAAAACTGCAATAACGGTCATTATTTATATACTGGAACTTAAGATTAAAATTTAGCTACACTTTGTAAAATCACCCTGTATAATACGCGTTTACGATACAAAATATAATTATATTTATATAGGAGATGGGGGAGGAGAATGTTATTTAAAAAAACAGTTCATAAATACTTTGTAGTTCAGGGGCTAAGCGCTTAATGTAAATTTTTGGGACTCCGGTCGGTCACCAATGAAACTGTTAATAGCGCAAATTTATCAGCACGTAGTAACGGCGATGAAGAAAAACATCGCATCGTGAACAAAGCAGTATATTCAAGGAATAAAATATTTCGTGGATATGTGGAGTCTGCAACAGGCCTTGAAGCAGCACACCGGACTAATTGCTCTAAAACCTACGTATAGCTTTGTGAAAGGTATTGTAAAATATATATAGATTGTTACTTTAGCTTATTTTACTACTAAATATAATACATATACATTGGATGCGACTCCATTATACTCCTGAAATGGAGCAAACTTACTTATTTAAGTAAGTTTAATATGCGTTGAATATTTTTTTAGATATATTGATTTATAAAGACTTCTCAGTAATGTATATTAATTATTGCTAAGTGGAGTTCATATTCAGATTTTAACCGACTTCAAAAAAATGAGGAGGTACGCAGTTCGTCTGTATGTTTTTTTGTGTATTACCTCAGAACTTTTTTCTAGGTGAACTGATTTTGATAATTCTTAATAATTTAAAATATTTGAAAGCTGATGCTTCTCATGTAGTCCCATATAAATTTGATCAAGATCTGACCAGTAGTTTTTGAATTATCCTTAATAATGCGTATTTAATTGACTTCAAGTACATTGATGATGTTTTCATTTTATTTATATTGAAGTCGGTTGTACAACATTTTAATTTTACCACTGGTTAAAAATGTGCGTAGTAAAAAAAGAATGTTTAGCGCCGATAGATTAGGTGGATAGAGATAAATTAGAGTATGACTTCCTTTGGGTGAGTTAATACAATTTCATGTTTTGATAAATATGAAAAATCATCTAGCAAAATATTATTTTAAAGGTAAGTAAAATATAAGCATTAGATCCACAAACTGTAGCTACATCAAATCTGGTTTCCATGTATATTTATTAGCATATTATTATCTGTTTCCTTCTTTCTTTAAAAAATCACTTCGCTATTTATGTAAGTTGTGATTACCTGTAAGAGGATGAACCATAGCGTTTAGTCGCAGTGTTGAGTTATAATTTGTTTGTATTGTGTATCATCCGTCGGTTATCTAAGCAAAAAGAAAAAATAAAAGAAAATAGAAAATAAAACAACATTAACTAAACTTGTGTGTCTTTATCTCACTAAAACAAAACTAATAAAGACTATGATAATTTGTGTTACACCCCTTTGTTATAGTTATTAATTTTTTTCGTGATAGGTGGCCGGCTCTTGGGGTCTTCAGCTAAGAGTATCTGAAATACAGCAGCAGATCAGTTGGCGTATTTCAGATACTCTAGTTATACTACGAATATCCTAATTTAGAATATTTATCCTAATATCGGTACTCCGAACATAACCCACTTCTAGATCTATATGTCATCACAAGCAACACGCACTAGTCATTAATTCTTGTTTTCAAATTTACATATTGCAATGATAATACATTTTTTATAGTTTTTCTCTTTTTGATAAAGTTGAGATAACTGTTTTGAACGCTCTTCAGAAAAATGCAAATTAAACAAATAAATTTTTGAAACGGTGCAGGTTTTAATTGATTCCCACAGAATCTCAAGTCCTTTGCGTACGGATGACTGAGACCTTTGTTATCTTTGAAAGTAGTATTTTAGCTATTCCATGTAGGCAAAATATTGAATAATAATATCCAATATGTCTTGCCTTGTCACATGCTACCGCAAATCCTAAGTGCCTAAGGATTAAACCCAGGTGTCGAGTTGTAAGAGCGTGACATGTTCGACTCTTCACGCCTGTCTGAACTCGTTTGAGGTCCGCCGTGACCTATTTACAGCCCCCTTTAACCCCTGAAGTTTGTTTCCAGTGGGGAGGTAGCCACCCCATTTGATAAGATTCGTCGATTAGAATTCGAGATTTTCTTAGAAATATAGCGTGGCTGGAGTAATGGCTTTGTGATGAATTTGTCTTTTAAAATGTTGATTTAAATATTGTAACATATTTAATTCAATATATATATATATATATATATATATATATATATATATATATATATATATATATATATTTTAATTGGTGACTCTTAATATAAAAGTTATTTTTTATTGGTGGTTTAAGGGTATGAAATCCCATCGATTTAAAATAATAAAAATACCACTGAATACAATTATTCCAGAAATCTGCTAATATCTCGTTTGGGCTTCGTTGTCAAACAAGAAAAATATATAAATTCGTTCTGTTCATTTATTCAAATGTGTCACAACATAAGATTGCAGAATTTAGGAGTAAGTATATT